TTGGGTCGTGGCAGATGGCGCGTTGTTGTATGCGAACTTGATGAGAGGCAGCTGCTACTCCCACGTGTTTGGATCGTCACACGTGGCTCGAATGAGCTGCTCCATAGTCTGGTTTGTCCGTTCTGTCTGTCCGTCGGTTTCGGGATGATACGATGAACTGAATTGAAGTCGCGTGCCGAACTGTTGCCACAAGTTCCGCTAGAAATTACTGGTAAACTTCGTGTCCCTGTCGCTGATGATCGACGCTGGTATCCCGTGCAGTCGAACGACGGTGGCGATGAAGAGTCGGGCTGTTTCCTCGGCTATGATTGATTTCCTGCATGCTGCGAAATGTGCCATTTTCGTTAGTCGATCGACGACGACCAGGATCGCGTCATTCCCACTCGCCCCGGCCGGTAACCCCGTGACGAAGTCCATCGTCACCTGCTGCCAAGCACGCTCTGGAGGTGGGATTGGTTGTAATTGTCCCGCCGGCCGCTTCCTGGTTGACTTCATGAGTTGGCAAGTGGGACACGATGCCACGTGTCGTTGCACGTCGGTCAACATTTCCGGCCAGTAATAGTACCGCTGCAGCTGCTGCCGTGTTTTTTCTACTCCGAAATGTCCCGAGGTAACTCCGTCGTGTGCCTCCTGTAACAGTAGTTCCCTTAGTAGCGTGTACCCTGGTACCCAGATGCGGTCGGATCCAGCTTTTACGTAATAGACTCCCTTGGCTGCTGCGAATTGCTGTGAATTTCCTCCTGTGAAGAATGGGTCTGTTTGATATTCGTGGGTAAATAGTCCTGTCAGTAACGGGCTGTTCTGGGCGAGTAGGATCGCATGGATTTGGGCAGTGGGGCGGGTCAGTGCGTCGGCGATATTCGAGGCTCCTTTTTTATATGTGACCGTATAGTGGAAATTCAACTCGAGGAAGTCGAGCCACCGAATCTGTCGTGGGTTGAGGTGGGGCTGTGCGCGAAGGTACTGTAGGGATCGATGGTCTGTCCGTACTGTCACGTCTGCGCCGGTCAAGTAGCAGCGCCACACTTTGAATGCATGCACGATCGCGAGCATTTCGCGGTCGTGTATCGGGTAATTTCGCTCAAGTGGATGTAGCTTGTGTGGTTCGTAGGCGATGGGTTGGAGGCCGTTGCCGAAGTCCTGTAACAGTACGGCTCCGATGGCGATGTCACTTGCGTCTGTAACAACTTCGAAGGGGCGGTGTGGGTCAGCGATGCGTAGGACGGGTGGTGAACAGAGAACATTTTTCAGGGCAGAGAAGGCAGCATGCTCTTTCTCCCCCCACGTAAAAGGGACCCCCTTACGCAGTAAATCAGTGAGCGGCGGCTGTTAAGCGTGCCATGTCGGGGACGAATCGACGAACGTAATTAACAAACCCTAAAAAACTCTGCCGTTCCGTGATGTTCGTCGGGGGATGCCACGCTTTTACGGTATCCAGCTTCTTAGGGTCTATCTCAACCCCAGCCTCCGAAATGACGTGACCCAAAAACTCTAGCCTGTCCCGAAAAAACTCGCACTTGGAGCCCTTGGTGAGGAACCGATGTGCCTCTAAAATTTTAAAAACTGCTTCGAGATCTACTAAGTGCTGTTGCTGGTCCCGACTGTAAACGAGGATGTCGTCGAGGTAAACTATGACGCATTTATCTAAAAGTGGTCTAAACGCCTCGTTCATGGTCATCTGAAATGTTGCAGGCGCGTTGGTCAGCCCGAAAGGCATCACCGTGTACTCGAATGACCCGTACCTAGTCCTAAATGCTGTCTTGGCGCAGTCCGATGGTTCGACCCGAATTTGATGGTAACCTCCCCGTAAATCTATTTTCGAAAATACTCGTGCGGTTCGCAGCTGGTCGATCAGTTCGTCGGCGCGGGGGATGGGGTATCGTGATTTTACTGTTACCCTGTTAAGCGCTCGGTAGTCGATGCACATGCGAAATCCTCCGTCTTTTTTCGGTGTGAACAGTATCGGTGCGGCGAACGGTGACGAGCTCGGTCGGATAAACTGCTTCTCTAACAGGTAATCTAACTGCTTCCTTAGCTCGTCGAGCTCGGGCTGTGTCAGTCGAAATTGGCGCTGTACAGTTGGCTGTGCCCCCGGTTCTAATTCGATCCTATGGTCATGCGCCCGCTGAGGTGGCAGCCCTTGCGGTAAGTCATCCGGAAAGATACCCGGGAACCGTTTCAGTAGTGCCTATAGTTCGGGTGGTACGGCTGCCAACAGTTTCTGCAAATCACTTGGCTGCTCCTCTTTTTCTACTAATGCGATATCCACTGCGTACACGTCAGCTCCAGCAGCGAGAGCCCGTTTCATCGTGATGGCGTTGACCTGGACCGTCGAAGACTCGGGTGGCTGCCAGGGAGGTAGGACGACCCAGTTACCACTACTTCGCACTGTGCAGCTACCCGTCGTCTAGTCAATTCGTGGGTTATACCGTCGCAGCCAATCACGTCCCAATAAAATGTCGTGCCCATCCAGTGTCGTTGCGAGCATTTCCTGTGTAAACCCGAAGTTCCCTCCGCAGCGGACTTTTACTCTCTCCACCTTTTCCCGTATAGCCAGTGGCGTGCCGTCGACTAAGCGTGCATCTATTTCAGGTAAGCATCGGTTAAGTGTTAACTGTAATTTCCGTGTGGTTGCGGTATTAACTAAGCTGTGACTTGCTCCTCCGTCAACAAAAATCTTCACTGCTGCTCCCTGTATTTTCCCGTAGATTAGTACCGGGCAATCCGTCGCTGTACCCTCCTTATTCATCCGAGCCCGATCGATGGCATGAATCGGTACTGTGACTCGGTGAGGGTCGGTGTGGTTGGGCGAGCAGGCAGTCTCGTCAGTAGTTGGCCCAACTTCTACTGACTGCTAGCGTTTCCCTGCCTCTGAGACTCCCTCCCCTGCTCTGCTCCTCGGCGCCTCAGCTCCTCTGGGCATTCGCTCTTGCGATGGCCCGGCCTGTTGCAAGCAAAGCAGCGCCCCTTAAACGGTGCGGCAGCTGCATTCGTTGCGACGGCGTGTACAGTGGCGTGCTCGGTCGGTCCCCGAGGACGATGTCCGTAATAGGACCCCGGTCTCGGTCGGCGTAGAATGTCGATCTTCTCGGCGAGCGCGAGACCCTCGTTGAAATTAGAGAGTCCGCGCAGCATTATCTCGTGCGAGATGTCCGCCTTCAGCCCTCCGACGTAACGGTCCACCCGTTCCGCTTCGTGCATGTAGCCGACCTGCTCGCAAAGTGCGAGAAAACCGCTGGTATAGTTTTGAACTGACCCGAGCTGGCGCCAAGTGCGCAGTTTCTGACGCGCCGAAATTGAAGCCGCGATCGGCTCAAAGCGCGCCCGAAGCCCTGCGCACCACGCATCCCACGTGCTGTATTGGGCGGTCTCGCAGAACGAACTCCAGGTGACAGCTGGACCCGAGGGCCCTTCCTCGTGCGACGGTGGCTCATAGGCGCGTGGCGACGTCACGATGACTCGCCACCAGTCCATGGCGGGGCCCCTTAGCAGTGAAACCGCATACCGGATCTTTGCGGCGTCCGACTCGACGTAATTGGCGTCGAAGAAGTCGTTCATCGTGAAGACCCACGATTGAATTGTCGGACCGCCGCGTTGACTTGGGTCGAAGCAGGGCGGGCGTTGCGGCTTGAGCGGCATTGGTGCCATGTTGGATTGTTCGCCACTTGTCGCCGCAAATTCCACGTGCCGACGGACTTATCGAGGCTCCCGTGGGCTTGGTGCGATCCTGTTTCCTCCCATGCCAGGCATCGGCTGAGCGACGCCCTCACTGGCTGCGCCTGAGCGTTGTCCCGTGCTGTCGTGTTGTGTTGGTGTGCCGGACGAGATGATGATCGGCTCATCCGAATGTGCAGATGCGGTTGTTGGTGCGTGGGATGTCGTCGGTATGTTTATCGTGGATTGTTGACGGGCGGAGTCACGTTCCGCCGTGAGGGTCGCGATTTCAAGCGCCGAATCCTCCAGTTGACGCACGAGACGATCAAGTTGCTCCTGCGTCAATGTGGCGAGCGTGAAGTCGGCCATGGCGGGGGTGTCGGGCAAGCTCAGCGAGAGCCTCGGTCGTGGCCGTGCGTGCTTACGAGAGAGCACTACGAGCGGCGGTGCTGTATCGCTGAGAGACGTCTACCCCCCCCCAAAAAATTGAGATAGTGCGGAAGCGAAGGTGTGAATGCGGTCCGAGATGGGATCGTAGGCTCTAATACCAAGTGTTATGAGTGCAATTGAGTGAACGAACGAGAATTGCACTATCGAAGCAAGAGTACAATGAGCGAAGGTATGAGCGAAGACTATATAGCGAAACTACAGTGGTAACGGTAATGGTCGCGCGACGAGCCTGGGACTGAGGTTGGGAAAGTGTCGAAGCGTAGGCCCGGAGCGCGGGTTACCAGCCGAGCCGTGAGGTCGGGATGCGATGTGCGAAAATGGCGGGATGATGAATGATGCGATGGTCGCGAGTGGTAACGGTGCTGACTGAGGTGCTACAGTGATGTACGCGTTGAGTAGGGATGCGAAGTAAGGAAAAGGGAATTTCCTTACAGTTGTGGTTATCTAGATGCGGGTTCCCCCAAAAGTGTATGCTCACAATAAAAGCACCCCCTGTACTGTTTCTGTAAAGGCAGTTCCAAGTACCTACCGTTATCACCAATCTTATCTAGGTGAGCACTTAGTATTTTCTGCTTCAAGACCCGTCAAAGGTGGTGTGACATGGCTAATGTTCAGAGTGATGACAAATAAGTCCATCATAGGTACTGGTATATGCCAATGGTCTCATGTCATGCATTCACTAATTCATTTTACTAGTTTCCAACTGTAAGAGCCGCAGAAATTAAATTGTTCATCCAAAAACGTATACACCAGTCATGCTTGGTTGAAACACGCAGGAGCAGCAGCCCAGTAGGATTGGCCACTGCAGTTCTCCCTATCACACGCGGCAAACACCCCACCAAATACCAACTAGGCAGCCCCAAATTCCTCCCTCCTACCTCATTACACCCCTCCATTCAAGTCGCCTCCCTCACTCCTGGATCTGCTTCCTTCTCAAACTCCCCTGTAAACCTTCTCTGTCGCATGCCCTCAACACTAACTGGTTTCCTCCAAATGCTCTTCCCGACCCCATCCACATCATCCAACAGCTTGGAAAATTGTTTTGGAAGCCGGGCAGCCAAAAAACCATCAACGTCAAATTCCTCCACCTCATCCCCATACTCGTCCAGGAGAGCAGCAGAACCCCCCTCTGCCTCCCCGGCTGCAGCACCACTGCTGCTGGCACCCTCCCTGCTGCTACTGTCACCGCTGCTACCACTGTTGCTGCTGCTGCTGCTACTTGAGACGTCGGCTCGAGAGGAGGAGAATGGCATGGGGCGTGTGGGGCTGAAGAGGGCTTTCATGCGGTCGATGGCTGGCCCGATGATTCCCCCTAGGTCCCATGAGGTCGGCTCCACCACTTCAGTGCGCTGTTTGGCAGTGAGAACAAAGAAAAAAGGGGGGGGGGGGGGGGGGGGGGAGCAGGGGTGAGAGAGGGGATGAGGGGGGCGTGTGGGGCTGAAGAGGGATTTCATGCAGTCGATGGCTGCCCGATGATGCCTCCCAGGTCCCATGAGGTTGGCTCCAACACCTCAGTGCGCTGTTGGGTGGAGAGAGTGAGGTGAAGGGAGGGGCACAAAACAGGATGAGGGAACGAGATGAGTGGCCTGATGATTCCCCCAAGGTCCCACATGGTTGGTTCCACCACTTCAGTGCGCTGTTGGGCAGAGAGTCACACCAGTGACGTACCCTCACACCCTCCACCCCTACCCCTGCGGTGACAAATCCTCATCCTCACCTTCACCCTCACCCCCATCCCGTGTAATGACCTACCTGCAGAAGCCGCATGAGCCGGAGCTCCTCTGCCCGCACAGCAGTCCCCTGCCTCTCCTCCATAGCAGCCCACAAGGCCGTCACCCTGTCACCTGTTCCAACTCAAACCCTCGCAATCCACGCTCGCTCTCCGCAGCAACCTACCTGCTGCAGGCGCATGAGCCGGAGCTCCTCTGCCCGCACGGCGTTCCCCTGCCTCTCCTCCATTGCGGCCCACGAGCGCCACACCACTGAGTTGCCGGAATCTGCTACAGTCGACTCAAGAGTCCAACCTGAGATCCATCCGCTGCAGTGAAATACCCACACCACACCGTTGACTTACCCGCTGCAAAAACCCACCTGCTGAAGGCGCATCAACCGAAGTTCCTCCGCCCGCACGGCGTTCCCCTGCCTCTCCTCCATTGCGGCCCACGAGCGCCACACCACCGAGTTGCCGGAATCTGCTGCCAGTGCTCTTTTGAACAGCGCTCTTGCCAGGCCTATGTTCCCCTCCCGCTCCTCCAACACGGCCCATGCCTGTGGGGTTGAGGGAATGGGAGGAGGGTGGGAACAGGAGGGAGAAGTGCAGTAAAGGTGATGAGCAGGCATGCTACAGTCTGCTTTCATTGCTCTCATGAGGTCTCTTGCCAGGCCTGTATTGCCTTCACCCTGCTCCAATACAAATGGTTGGGTCAGCTCAGACTTAGGATGGCAGGGCGCAGTTATTCTTAGGAACATATAGCAACCCCCTTCCTGAGTCAACAATCTGGCAGCTTTTGGCGAGGCGTCATTGCCCTCCAACTGGAGTCTGGCTGGAGTCTGGTAGACTGCTCCTCCTTTCTTGACTTTATTGACTTGCTTGACTCACCTGGGCGAGGAGTCATTGCCCTCCACCGCCCTCTGGTAGAGCGACTGCTCTGATTTATTTGACCTTCTTGACTTGGATCACTCACTTGACACTCGCTTGACTTTGTTGACTTGGAACACTCTGGCTGCGTTGGGCGAGGAGTCGTTGCCCTCCACTGCCCTCTGGGAGAGCTCCCTTGCTCTCTTGACTTTGTTGACTTGGTTGACTTGCTTGACTCACCTGGAACACTCTGGCAGCGTTGGGCGAGGAGTCATTTCCCTCCACTGCTCTCTGGTAGAGCTCCCTTGCTCGCTGCACCCGCCCCTCCTTCCACTCCATCCACCCCCATGCCTGGTAGACCGACAGGGAGGATCAGGAGGAGGAGAGGGAATGCGGAAGAAGGAGGCAGGGGAAGAAGGAAGGGGAGGATTGAAGGAGGCAGGGGAAGAAGGAAGGGGAGGATTGAAGGAGGCAGGGGAAGAAGGAAGGGGAGGATTGAAGGAGGCAGGGGAAGAAGGAAGGGGAGGATTGAAGGAGGCAGGGGAAGAAGGAAGGGGAGGATTGAAGGAGGCAGGGGAAGAAGGAAGGGGAGGATTGAAGGAGGCAGGGGAAGAAGGAAGGGGAGGATTGAAGGAGGCAGGGGAAGAAGGAAGGGGAGGATTGAAGGAGGCAGGGGAAGAAGGAAGGGGAGGATTGAAGGAGGCAGGGGAAGAAGGAAGGGGAGGATTGAAGGAGGCAGGGGAAGAAGGAAGGGGAGGATTGAAGGAGGTACAGCTCTCATTCCTCCTTCCACTCCACCCATCCCGATGCCTCCTGCCAGACAAGCGCGTGAAACGGAGGCGTTGGGAAGGTAAGTTTTATGAGACATCTCAGAAATAACCTATCTGCACGTGGCCACCCATCCCGATGCCCTGGCAGACAAGAGCGTGAAACGGGGGCGTTGGGAAGGTAAAAGACAAGAGGGGTAGCCACACTCAAACTCCAGCAGAGCCAGCGCCTGCAGCATCGCATCATCCCTTACACTGCTCAACACACCTTAGCACCCTTCTGCACCGCACTCCACTCACCGTCCACACAGGCTGGTGGTTGGGATCAACAAGAGAAGCCTGGCTGAACAGCTCCCTTGCTGTCCCTGTAAAGCCGCACTCATACTCCAGCAGAGCCAGCGCCTGCAGCAGCGCGGCGTCCTTGGGGTTGAGCTGCGCCCCCCGCTGCAGCAGCAACCTCCCCCGGTCGTACCTCCCCTGCGCTGCTTCAAACAGCCCCCACGCCTGCCATGTGTAGGGGTTCTTGGGACTGGCATTCAGAGAACGCTGGGAGGGGGGTGGAAGAGGAGGGGAGAGAAGGGGTGGACACGGGTAGTGGGGACAGAGGGTAGAGGGCGAGGAAGGACTTGAGAATGAGAGTGCGGGGAGTGAGGCCTGAGCTGCTTCAAACGGCCTGAGCTGCTTCAAACGGCCTGAGCTGCTTCAAACGGCCTGAGCTGCTTCAAACGGCCTGAGCTGCTTCAAACGGCCTGAGCTGCTTCAAACGGCCTGAGCTGCTTCGATGCCTGCCACGTATAGGGGTTCTTGGGACTGGCATTCAGGGAACGCTGGGGGGGTTGGAGGGAGGAATGAGAGAGGAGGGAGGAATGAGAGAGGAGAGAGGGTAGAGGGCGAGGAAGGACTTGAGAGAGAGCGCGGGAGTGAGGCCTGAGCTGCTTCGAGCAGCCCCCACGCCTGCCACCTGTAGGGGTTCTTGGGACTCGCATTCAGGAACCGCTGGGGAGGGGGGGTGAGGGGGATGAGGAGGAGAAGTGAGAGGCGAGCAGAGGCGGGGTCTCACTGTTGTGCCGACTTTTAAGGCGCCTCAAGTGAAGTGAGAGGCGAGCAGAGGCGGCGTCTCCCTATTGTGCTTCCAGCAGCGCCCATGCCAGCCAGCTGGCAGTGCTCTTGGCGTTCATGATCCATCCTCAGAAGAGGGAAGCAGGGGAAGGTGACACCTAGAGCAGGATCAGCAGGGGAAGGTGCTGCTTGGAACAGCGGCAACAGACGCACCTGGAAGAGCAGGGGAGGGCGCACCTGGAAGATCAGAGGAAGGTGGTACCTGGACGAGCAGGGGAAGGTGGTACCTGGACGAGCAGGGGAAGGTGGTACCTGGAAGAGCAGGCGGGCAGAGGCGCCATCTCCCTGCTGAGCCTCCAGCAGCGCCCATGCCAGCCAGCTGGCGGCACTCTTGGCGTTCATCCGTGTGGCCTGCAGGAAGAGCGCCCTTGCCTCTGCCACTCGCCCGCTCTGCACCTCCATCACTGCGAGAGTCTGGGAAAAAACGGTGTGAGGAGGGGGTGAGGAGAGAGGGGAAAGGGGTTCATCCGCGTGGCCTGCAGGAAGAGCGCCCTCGCTTCTGCCACTCGCCCACTCTGCACCTCCATCACTGCCAGAGTCTGGTGGGGTGGAGGTTGGATGGAGTGGGGTGAGGTTCGGTGAAGGGGAGTAAAAGGGTGGTAAATGGTTTTCTGGGGTGTGTGGTGGGTGCATAAGACACAGCTGGCAGCGCTCTTGGCATTCATCTGCATGCACACATGGGATGGGAGGCACTTCCCATGTACTCACATACTCTTCTTAGGACATGCACTGCATGAACGTTCGCAGTACTCCTCCTATACTCACATACTCTTCTTAGGACATGCACTGCATGAACTCGTTATAGGACGCACCTGGTATATGTACTCGTTCCCGCCGCACAGCTTGAGCCCCTTCTGCAGCAGCTCCCTCGCCCGGCGCACATTCCCCTGCTTCAGCTCCAGCACCGCCCACCCATGCCATGCTGCCACGTGTCTCTCATCTGCCACCGTGGCAGCATCAAACAGCTTTCGAGCCTTCTCCACGTTGCCTGCTTGCGCCTCCAGCACAGCCCAGGTCTGGGAGAGGGGGGTCAATTGGGGGAGAGGGGGGAAATATGTGAACACAGGAGGAGAAGGAAAGTTCAGAGGAGGGTATGAAAGGGAAACGAGAAGGGAATGCAAAGGCATTGGGGCGAGGGATCGAAGAAGTGGACGAAGTTGAGGCATGGGTCAAGGCATGGGTCGAGGAATCCCATGGGGAAGATTTTGACAAAGGGGATGAGCGGGGGAAGAGACAAAGAATGTGCATGTCCTTACTCTCCTCCTTACAAGCCCTACTTCTCCATCCCCTCCTCTGTGCCCCTCCCCTTCCCCCACACGCCAATTCCCCGTCCCCCACGCCCTTTTCTCCCCACCCCTCCCCTCCCGCCGCACCTGCCAAATGAACGCGTTATCCCCGCCCAGCGCCTGGCAGCCATCCTCAAAGACTCCGCGCGCTTCTCCCAGCCTGCCCTTCCGCTGGAGCATGCGTCCCAGCACCACGTACGGGCGCCCGTCGTCCGGCCAGTCGCGCACAGCCTGGGACATGGGGCAAGGTGAAAGCGGAAAGGGGAAGGTGAGGTGAAGAGCGTGAGGTGGTAAGCGGAAGGGGGAAGCTGAGGTAGGGAAGGTGAGGGTGGTAAACGGAAGGGGGAAGGGGGAGAGAGAGGGCAGTGCTGGGGGAGGTGGAACTCAGACGGGGTATCAATTGTCGGCCGCCGCCAAGGAGTCTTATTCTTGGCAAAAGGCGTCTGAAAGTCACAAGCGCTGCTGTGCTGACCATTATGTTCCTTTCCCTCATCTACCCTCCCTCCCATTCATCCCGTTGAGCCCCCTTCCCACTTTTTCCCCCCCATTCCCCTTTCTTCCTCCCCTCCCGCCTACTTCCCCACTCCCACCCTCCCATTTCTCCTAATTCCCCCTCCCCTTCTGCCCCCGCCCTTCCGCCTACCTTGCGCATGAGCCCTTCCGCGTCTTGCGCCTTCCCAATGCGGAACAGGTTGCGCGCGCGGTAAATGTCAAGGTCCAGGTTGATCTTCAGCCGCTTGGGTTCGTCGTTCTTCGGAGCGGGCGGAGCCCACCGCAGCGCCCCGCGCAGTGCCGCGGCCGCCCCCGGGGGAAGCTGGCTCAGACCGCCTGGGCGGAGCGGTAGGGGGATGTGTAGAGTAGGGGGTGCGGGGGGGGGAGAGAAAGGGGGGTGGGTTGGAAGGGCATGGAGAGGGGTATGCGGGATATGATGAGGGATTGGAATAGGGACGGACGGAAAAGGTCGTTCTTTGGGAAGCATTTAGTTGATACGGCCAAAGGGGAAGGGAAAAGGCAAAGTGGAGGCGAGAGGTGAAGAGAGGAGTGACGCATGGGAGAGGAGGGCATTCGGAGAAAAAAAACTGTAGCGTTCTTCAAAACTGTAGGTTCTGGGATTTGAAAGTGGGTGGGAGCACAAGAGTCACACAACAAATAAGTTCAACAGACTCAACCAGTCAGAGTTACTTAGTCTCGGCGAATACAGCTACGGGGAACGCAAAAGTGAGTCAAATGGGAGAACGACGTCCGCGAGAGCGGAAGGAGAAAGCAGCATCCAAGACTGTTCACCGCCGTTGCTGATTCGACGGATTAAACGACACTGCTCGCTTGCAACCTAAACACTGGCAGAAACAACGGGTGTGACCTACCGTCGTTGCCAATTCCGCGGCTCATCCGCGACTCGAGGAGGAAATCGCTGACGATGTCATTCTCCTGCGCGGCCATTCCGCTCCGCTCCTCGATTCCTCCGCCACTCCCTATCGGAAGCTCCATGTCCTCCGCACTGCTCTCCGCTGTCTCCTGCCCCTCAAACTTCTCAACCGTCTCGAACCGGGTCGAACCAATTTCAGTTGGCTCAGCACCGAGCTGCACCGCTCTTGTGCTCCCGTTTTCCTCCAGAGCAACTCCGTCTAGAATACCCCCCTGCGAAGCAGCGGCGGTAGCAGCAGCAGGGGCGGCGACAGCAGCAACGGCAGTATCAACTCCTGAACTAGCCTGCGATAGCCTAGCGGTAGGCCGGGGTAGGGTTGTCTTCAGCACCCAACCCTTTTCAGTCAGCGACCACATCTTGCTCCTCCGCCGACGCCGACCTGATTGGCCGGCAGCATTAGCGGCTTCGTCTTGAGAGGCGAAGATTCCAGGAGATTGCTCCAGTCCTTCTGCTAGGGTTCTCCATCCAGACTTGTCCTTCTCGTCCTCCGTCGTCGTTCCGTTTACTGTCGCGCCGTCTCCTCTTGACGACAGCACGAAAGTGGAAATCTCGGAGGAATCTGAATTCTGGTTTTCCACGGGACGCCATTCGAGGGAGGTTGGAGAAATGTGCGTTCCCGAGTTACCAGGAGATTCACCAGGTGCATCCGTTTCAGGGAATCTGCTAGACGAAGAGGGAGGATTAACTGATACGCGGTCGTTAATCGCGACAGCCAAGGGGTCGACAGTGGCTCTACGACCTTCGCGAACAGACTGACATTTCGCGGACCTCTCGTTACCTTTCGCCAGTCGCACCAGCTGGCGTTGAGAGGCTCGTCCAGACTGGAGGAACTCGCTCTGACTAAGATCCAGAGGAGCGTGCGCTGGAGCTGAGAGGAGCGATAGCCTTAGCGAACCCATGACATTCGACGCCATGGATTCGGTAACGCTTAGGCTGTCTCTGACTTCGTCTGAAAGTTGATTATCTCGAGGTTGTGCGGGTTCTCACTTTGGGTGGGGGAGTGGTTGAAACCTGGAGCCTTGAAAATGACGGTCATGCCGAATTCTGGTTACCCTGACGAAACGTGCGAGGCACTGGCCTTGTCGAGCGTGGTTTTGTTCAAATCATTTCGTCAAGGCTCGTGCAAGGGATACTTTCGCGATCCCCGGAGGTTGACGGGAATTCTACATCGAATTAGTGACCGCCACGACGGCGACTGGAGGCTCCAAGCTACGTGGAGAAAGGGCCACACAGCCAATCAGGGCTCCGCTTTCGCGATGCATCCAGATTGCTCCAGTTTCGCTTCTTGAAGATAGCTCATTCATCTTCGCTGTTATGCAACCTGATTATCCACTGAAATACCTCAACCACTCACATATATACAAACGAGCAATCACTTTGTTTGATAGCTCCTTGCAGCATCCCATGCCTTGAACTCAGCTAGCTTTAGCTTTCTCTCCTCAGAACTCATTTGCAATATCTTCTTCGAAAATTCCTCTCCACTTGGTTCTCCAGCCCAAGCAGCCATGCGTACAAACATTTCTTCCTTCACATTCGTCGATGCCGTTGGGTGTTGCTTCTGTTGACATACCTCTACTCGTTGCTTAAGCAGCTGCCGTGGTGGATGTCGCCTTGCCGAAGCCTCCTCTCCTCCCTCTCTACTCCTTTTCCGAGAATCCGTTTTCTTTTGCTGCTCTTTGTGTGCATCTCCCTTCCTCTTCCTTCCACCAACACCCTCGGCCACCACTCCACACTTGCCCCCAACTCCCGTCCTCGCCCCACTCCTCTTCCTCTTCACTGATCCTGCCGTCTGAACCCGTTCCTTTATTGAACGTGACAAAGTGGAGGGCTTGACCGAGGCAGGAGGAGGGCGAGACAAAGGGCGGGGCTCGGTGGTTGAATGATCATCCAAAAATGCAGCAGCCAATGGCGTGACGGTCCTGGAGCCATGGTGGCCCCTGATGACGTCATCATTCACATGGGTGTATGCCACACCAGCATCAAGAAGCTCGTCTGGTATCGACCCCATGCCATAGTCATCATGACCTATACCATGTACATCATGCCCCATGCCATGTGCATCATGACCCATGCCATGTGCATCATGACCCATGCCATGTGCATCATGCCCCATGCCATGTGCATCATGACCATCATGCCCCATGCCATGTGCATCATGCCCCATGCCATGTGCATGACCACTCATCCCCTCCTGCCCTCCTTGATGCCCCTTCACACCATCACTCTCCCCCCCAGTATCCTCAATCTCATCCTCTTCCTCCTCCTCCCCATCCCTGTCTCCTCTCCCCTCCAAACCTTCTTCCCCCTCCCTACCCTCCTTTCTCCCCTTCCTCCTCTCACACTTCACACGTCCCTTCCCTCTGCCCTTCTGCGTCCATAAACCAGGCACCTCTCTCGCTTCTACTAGTCTAGCCAGCCCACTCACCCCATTGTCCTCCTCATCCTCCTTCCTCCCCTTCACCCTACCGGCTTTCACCATCAATTCCTCTCTCTTGCTTGCCAAGCCAAGCCCTTCGCCTCGTTCTGCACTCGCAAATCCTGGATTCCCCTCCAGCCTGTGCTCCCCAGGTGCTTCAGGTGATATGCCAGGTGATTCAGGAGACTCCCCAGGTGTTTCAGGTGCGATGCCACCATCAGGCACCTGCACCACAAGCAGATCATCTTCGTCCTTTTGCGAATCACAGTGCGGCTTTTCCCTCATAACCGAGGGCGCTTCAGAACTCTTATTTCTTCTCTTTTCCACCTCCTCCTGGCGCTTTCTATCTACATTCACTTCTTTCTCATCCTCCCGTCCCTGCTCCTCCTGCTGCTTTTCCTGCTGTTGCTGCCTCTGCGGTTGCCTCGCTGCCTTGCCAATGATCTCCGCTGATAGAATGCTCGTGCTGCGGTCTTGAAACAGGTTCGCCACTCCAAATAGCTCCCCCTGGTGGGATTTGAAGCCCTGAGGGAGAGACACAGAGAGATCAGTAGAGAGGAGATTTTAAGACATGTATGTATCAGAAGCTGATAGAATGCTCGTGCTGCGGTCTTGAAACAGGTTCGCCACTCCAAACAGGTCCCCTTGGTGGGCCTTGGAGCCCTGAGCAGGCGACAAAAGAGGGATAGAAAGGAGCGGATTGCCTCATAAGGGAGTTTACAGAATCGAAGATTACCCGCATACTTCCCCTCCCTCGTGATGATTATGACGCTTTCAAGAATTTAGTAAAATAGTGGCAGAAGTGGCACTCATTCGAGGTGAGTACTAGATCATGATCTTCTAGAATCTCTTACTTTCGAAATTCTACAGTGATCTTTCTTTAGTGACCTTTTCACCCCAACGATCACGACACTGTTGTCTTCTTCAAATGTCGGAGGATTCACCAATATTGCCATGCCGTCACAGGGGAGTGAAGAGAAACCGGAAGTCCACTCCCCTCACACCCACCTGCACGCCTGTGAAGTATCGGTTTTCCTTTCCGTGGCCCCTTCGATCGCGATGTTGGTCTGCTGCTGCTTGTACACCTGCCGCAGATACACCACCTCCTCCACTGCGCCTTCTCTCCCTGTGCTCCCCTGGTCCAACCCCTTGCATCAACTTTACAGCCACCCCTGCTCACCTGCACCCCAGTGAAGTATCGCTGCTCTGAAGCCCCTTCGATCGCGATGTTGGTCTGCTGCTGCTTGTACACCTGCCGCAGATACACCACCTCCTCCACTGTCCCTCCTGCCACTAGCCGGTACACCGACACGTGCCGCGTCTGCCCGAATCGGAAGGAGCGATCCTGAGCCTGTGAGAGGCGTGAGGGGGAAAGAACAGGGGTGTAATGAGAGCATTTAAAATGGAGGGTAGATACACCACCAGCTCCACTGTCCCACCTATACCCTTCCACCAGCCTATACCCTTCCACGAGCCTATACCCTTCCACCAGCCTAAACCCTTCCACGAGCCTATACCCTTCCACGAGCCTATACCCTTCCACGAGCCTATACCCTTCCACGAGCCTATACCCTTCCACGAGCCTATACCCTTCCACGAGCCTATACTCTTCGAAGCAGCCCTCACAACCCTCCTCACCTGTAGATCGTGAGCCGGGTTCCACGTGGGATCCAATATGATCACCCGATTCGCGCTAACTAAGTTGAGACCGATTCCTCCTGCCTTGGTGGAAATGAGGAACACCTGAAGAGTGAGAGAAGGGGGGAGAGAAGTGGGACAGGCACAGGACAGGGCAGAAACAGAGTCACTGTGTAGGCACAAAGCCGCACTCGCTTCGAGGGGCAGGAGCCGAATTCGTGCACAGCATGAGAGTCGGGCCGTTGCAGTGGAGCCTGGCATGTTTAGTTTTGAGACGTCTCAAAACTAGATCACTTCACGCGGATTTTGAGACGTCTGAACACTCGCTTCGAGGGGAAGGAGCTGAATTCGTGCACAGCATGAGAGCTGGGCGTGTTGCAGCGGAGCCTGGCGTGTTCAGTTTTGAGACGTCTCAACACTCGCTTTGAGGGGGGGGGGGAGTCGAATTTGCACACAACATAGGGCCTGGTGCATTGCTGTGGAGGTGGAACAGTTAACGCGAGGGGTTGGTGTTGCTGTCAAGGCAGGAGGAGTGTTTGTGTACACATGATACAAGTAAGCCTCACCTGTCACAAGTGTTTGTGTACACATGATACAAGTAAGCCTCACCTGTCACAAGTGTTTGTGTACACATGATACAAGTAAGCCTCACCTGTCACAAGTGTTTGTGTACACATGATACAAGTAAGCCTCACCTGTCACAAGTGTTTGTGTACACATGATACAAGTAAGCCTCACCTGTCACAAGTGTTTGTGTACACATGATACAAGTAAGCCTCACCTGTATGGAGGGCTGGAGAAAAGGTGTGTAGAGAAGGGGATACGGTGAGCCTCACCTGTATACAAGGGCTGGAGTTGAAGCCGTGCACGAGAGTCTGTCTCGTTGCTGTTGAGGTGGAGCTGTCAAGGTGACAAGACAGGAGAAAAGGTGTGTAGAGAAGGGGATACGGTGAGCCTCACCTGTATAGAAGGGCTGGAGTTGAAACCGTGCACGAGAGCCTGTCGCGTGGCAGTGGAGGTGGAGCCGTCGAGTCGAGAAAATGAGATCCCTCGGGCCTCTAGGAACCGCTGAAGCACGTCCAGCATTCTGGGAGGCGAGGGAGGCAAGGGTTGGAGGGAGCACGGAGCAGGGCGAGCGTGATTAGTGGTGGGTGGAGAAGATGAATGGACCTCTGGCCTCTAGGAAACGCTAAAGCACCCATAGCTTGACCATCTTCGACTCGCTTTGACTTGCTTGACTATAAATGGCAAAACAGCAGCACTATAACTCGCCTCCCACACCACTGCCACAGCAGCCGATCCAGCGCCGCAGTTTGACCCTCTTTGACTTGCTTTGACTCACTTGACCGAGTGGCTGAACAGCAGCACTTTATCCCCACTCCCACACCACTGGTTTAACAGCCGATCCAGTGCCCGCAGCTTCCCACAGTGCTCGCTACTGCCAAGTGTCAGCAGATCACTCGCCTCCCGCACGCCGCCCGCCAGGTCAGCATCGCCGGCCAGCGCCAGCCTGGCGAAAGCGAGATCTCTTGCTTGCTTGTCCGGAGGGTCCCTGGGGTTGGGCTTTAGCAGCTCCAAGTGGTTGCTGATCTGCAGAGAGGAGAGGTGGAGGGAGAAGGGGAGGAAGGGCATGGAGCAGGGTTAACACGAAGGTGAAGGTTGAGATGTAGAGAAGGAGAATGCGGGATTGTGAGATGCTTGAGAGACAGTACCATTCTCAACATGACCCACCTGCTGCAGCTTTGACAGGCAGGGGAAGAGCACGCAGAAGGGGCAGTGCAGCTTCTGAGGCATGTCAGAAATCGTTAACTCCTTACCACACAGCCACCCACCCACACACCTGCTGCAGCTTGGAGAGGCAGGGGAAGAGCACGCAGAAGGGGCAGCGCGGGCAGCAGAGGCCGTCCAGGTGAAGGGACGACCACAGCACGCCTCCCCCACCCATCTCCTCGCCCCCGTCCCCTTTATGGTGGCACTCGCTGCGCTTCCTCGGCCCGCCACAACTGTTGGAGATACAGGGGCAGAGGAGCGGGGATGCAAGCACAAAGGATTGGGATGGAGGGACGACCACAGCACCCCTCTCCCCCAATTCTCCTCGCCCCCATCCCCTTTATGGTGGCACTCGCTGCGTTTCCCCGGCCTGCCACAGCTGTTGGAGATACAAAGACAAAGGAGGACGGTTACAAAATGAAGGGCCGTATCAATCTGCATTACGCCCTCCCATCCTCTCTATCTTCCCCTCTTCCCTCCCCTCTGTCTTCCCCTCTCCCTTCCCCCACCCCTCTCCTCGCCCCCGTCCCCTTTATCGTGGCACTTGCTGCGTTTCCTCGGCCCGCCATAGCGTTTAGAGAACAACAAGCCTAACATCGTAACAGCGCAATGGTAATGGTAATGCTTGTTGGTGGGATGTTGGGCTGTTGCGTAACAGCATAATAGCTTGACATTACTACTACCAATACCATTACCATTATCACTACCACTACTACTACCATTATCATTACCATTACCACTACCATTATTATTACTATTACCATTACCCTTACCATTACCATTACCACTACCGTTACCACTACCATCACCATTACTATTACCAGTATCATTACCATTACCATTGTCAGTATCATTACCATTACCAATACCACTACCATTACTATTACCATTACCATTGCCATTATGATTTCCATTACCATCACCATTACCACTACCACAACCATTTTCATTTCCACTACCATTATCATTACCATTACGACTACCACTACTACTATTATTACGACTACCACTGCCTCTACCATTGCTATTCCCAACACCACTACCATTACCATTATCATTACCATTACCACTACTACTGCTATTACTACTGCCACTGCCACTACCATTACCATTACAAATACCATTATCATTACAACTATCATTACCATTAACATTAGCTACTACCATTATCATTATCATTACCACTACCATTACCATTACCACTTCCATCACCATTCCCACTACCATTACCATTACCACTACCATTAAAATTACCATTAACACTACCATTATCATTACCACTACTATTACCATTTCTATTAACATTACCACTGACAGCCTAACAGCCTAACAGCCTAACAGCCTAGCAGCCTAGCAGCCTAGCAGCCTAACAGCCTAGTAGCCTAGCAGCATAACAACCTAACAGCCCAGCTGCCTAATAGCCCAACAGCCCAATAGCCTAGCAGCCTAACATCCTAACAGCCTAGCACCCTAACAGCCTAGCAGCCAAACAGCCAAACAACCGAACAGCCAAACAGCCTAGCAGCCTAGCAGCTTAACAGCCTAACAGCCTAACAGCCTAGCAGCCTAGCAGCCTAGCAGCCTAACAGCCTAACAGCCTAACAGCCTAACAGCGTAACAGCCTAAAAGCCTAACAGCCTGACGGCCTTACATCATACAGCGTAACATCCTAACAGCTTAACAACGTAACAGAGTAACAGCCTAACAGCCAAACAGTCTAACAGTCTAACAGCGTAACAGCAGAACAGCCTAAGAGCCTAACAGCGTAACAGCCAAACAGCGTAGCAGCGTAACAGCGTAACAGCCTAACAGCGTAACAGCGTAACAGCCTAACAGTCTAACAGCGTAACAGCCTAACAGCGTAACAGCCTAACAGCCCAAAGCGTAACAGCATAACATCGTAACAGCCTAACAGCCTAACAACGTAACAGCCTAACAGCGTAAAAGCGTAACAGAGGAACAGCGTAACAGCCTAACAGCGTAACAGCCTAACAGCGTAACAGCTTAACAGCGTAACAGCCTAACAGCCTAACAGCCTGATAGCGTAACAGCCTAACAGCCTAACGACATAACAGCGTAACAGCCTAACAGCGTAACAGCCTAACAGCCTAACAGCGTAACAGCATAACAGCGTAACAGCCTAACAGCGTAACAGCCTAACAGCGTAACAGCGTAACAGCCTAACAGCGTAACAGCATAAAAGCCTAACAGCGTAACAGCGTAACAGCGTAACACTGTAATAGCCTAACAGCCTAACAGTGTAACAGCCTAACAGTGGAACAGCGTAATAGCGGAACAGCCTAACATCGTAACACCGTAACAACGTAATAGCGTAATAGCCTAACAGCCTAACAGCCTAGCAGCCTAACAGCGTAATAGCCTAGCAGCCTAGCAGCCTAACAGCGTAACAACGTAACAGCCTAACAGCGTAACAGCCTAACAGCGTAACAGCGTAAAAGCCTAACAGCGTAACAGCCTAACAACCTAATAGCGTAACAGCCTAACAGCGTAACACCCTAACAGCCTAACAAACATAACAACGTAACAGCCTAACAGCGTAACAGCCTAACAGCGTAACAGCATAACAGCGTAACAGCCTAACAACGTAACAGCGTAACAGCCTAACAGCGTAACAGCCTAACAGCATAGCAGCGTAACAGCGTAACAGCCTGACAGCGTAACAGCGAAATAGCCTAACAGCGTAACAGCCTCACAGGATAACAGCCTAGCAGCCTAGCAGCCTAACAGCCTAGTAGCCTCGCAGCCTAACAACCTAACAGCCCAGCTGCCTAACAGCCCAACAGCCCAATAGCCTAGCAGCCTAACATCCTAACAGCCTAGTAGCCTAACAGCCTAGCAGCCAAACAGCCAAACAGCCTAACAGCCAAACAGCCTAACAGCCTAGCAGCTTAACAGCCTAACAGCCTAACGGCCTAGCAGCCTAGCAGCCTAACAGCCTAACAGCCTAACAGCGTAACAGCCTAACTGCGTAACAGCCTAACAGCGTAACAGCCTAACAGCCTAACAGTGTAACAGCCTGATAGCGTAACAGCCTAACAGCCTAACGACATAACAGCGTAACAGCCTAACAGTGTAACAGCCTAACAGCCTAACAGCGTAACAGCATAACAGCGTAACAGCCTAACAGCGTAACAGCGTAACAGCCTAACAGCGTAACAGCGTAACAGCCTAACAGCATAGCAACCTAACAGCGTAACAGCCTAACAGCGTAACAGCGTAACACCATCAGAGCGTAACAACCTAACACCTTAACAGCTTAACAGCCTAACAGCGTAACAGCGTAACAACGTAACAGCCTAATAGCCTAACAGCCTAACAGCCTAACAGCGTAACAGCCTAACAGCGTAACAGCCTAACATCGTAACAGCGTAACAACGTAACAGCGTAATAGCCTAACCGCCTAACAGCCTAGCAGCCTAACAGCCTAACAGCCTAGCAGCTTAGCAGCCTAACAGCGTAACAGCATAACAGCCTAACAGCGTAACAGCCTAACAGCGTAACAGCGTAACAACGTAACAGCCTAATAGCCTAACAGCCTAACAGCGTAACAGCCTAACAGCGTAACAGCCTAACATCGTAACAGCGTAACAACGTAACAGCGTAATAGCCTAACCGCCTAACAACCTAGCAGCCTAACAGCCTAACAGCCTAGCAGCTTAGCAGCCTAACAGCGTAACATCATAACAACCTAACAGCGTAACAGCCTAACAGCGAAACAGCCTAGCAGCGTAAAAGCGTAACAGCGTAACAGCCTAACAGCCTAGTAGCATAACAGCCTAACAGCATAACAGCGCAACAGCCTAACTAGGCATGATCATCCTGCCCCGGCGGGTCGGGTCAGGCATTTTGAAGCGCTGACCCGGCCGGGTCGGGTCGGGTTTACCCGGTCGGGTCGGGTCGACCCGACACCCGAAACCGGGTCGGGTCGGGTCGGGTCAGATTTAGACCCGAAGTCGTACCCGACCCGGTTTCGGGTACCGCGCCCTAAGTCGGGTCGAGTGTTTGGCCCAACCCGACTTTTCCTCCCTCGACAAGTTGCACTAGAGCAGATCGCGAAGTCAATGTCTAAACCCTAGACCGGAGCTGCTGTAGTAGGTCATCGTCAAAGTGAAGAGGAAGAAATCGAACGCAAAGATTATTGAAGGGAAAAGCGGCCTGACATTGAGTGAGTCTGGTAGAAGTTGGCAACAAATTGGATGGGGTGAAGGTGGGTTGTGAGCGGTGGATAAGAGGGAATGATCCACCAACAATCTCGAAATGCAGATCTGAAGTTGCTTCAGCAACGCGCGAACTCAGATCTGAATTTCTAGACTCAAATTTGAGTTCGCCAGATCGCGAACTCATCTGATTTTTTTTCCGGTCAGCCCGAGCCAAATTTGGCGAATTTTAGAAAAATCCGCAGCGTACGAATTCTAGATGCGTATAAACTCAATACGCAACATGAAACTAGCGTTTTTTCCAACTTAGGAACCTCTTACCCTGCATATGGGGTCCTGGCCCGACCCGACCCGACCCGGCCCCTACCCGACCCGACCCGGGGGCGGGTCACGCCTGACCCGGCACCCGATACCCGGGTCGGGCCAGGATTTTTTGAAGTTCCGACCCGACCCGACCCGACCCGGAACCCGGCTGGCCCGCCCAAGTCGGGTCGGGTCGGGTCGGGTCGGGCCTAATGATCATGCCTAAGCCTAACAGCCTAAAAGCGTAACAGCCTAACAGCGTAACAGCGTAGCAGCCTAGCAGCCTAACAGCCTAACAGCGTAACAGCATAATAGCGTAACAGCCTAACAGCCTAACAGCGTAACACCATAATAGCCTAACAGCGTAGCAGCCTAGCAGCCTAACAGCCTAACAGCATAACAGCATAACAGCCTAACAGCGTAACAGCGTAACAGCCTAACAGCATAATAGCCTAACAGCGTAAAATCGTAACACCGTAACAGCCTAACAGCCTAATAGCGTAACAGCCTAACAGCGTAACAGCCTAACAGTGTAACAGCCTAACAGCGTAATAGCATAATAACGTAATAGCCTAACGGCCTAGCAGCCTAGCAACCTAACAGTGTAACAGAATAACAGCCTAACAGCATAACAGCCTAACAGCCTAGCAGCGTAACAGCCTAACAGCGTAAAAGCGTAACAGCGTAACAGCCTAACAACCTAACAGTGTAACAGCCTAACAGCGTATTAGCGTAACAGCGTAACAGCCTAACAACCTAACAGCGTAACAACATAACAGCCCAACAGCGTAACAGCGTAATAGCCTAACAGCGTAACAGCCTAACAGCGTAACAGCCTAACAGCGTAACAGCCT